TTTTGGCGACTGCTGTGTTGATTTTTGTGTGGACAAGTCATTCAGCAGGATGAACCTTGGGGGCGGAGGGTTTTGATCCTGGGGCGGGGTTTCCCTTCGTTTTTGTTTCTTTTTGAGTTTACTACAGTACAAGTACACCTTGGAAACTTTGGTTTTGAGAGCATTCGTAACGATCTACAGAATCAGGGAGGGTGTTCGTGAGGTGGATTATGCTATCCTTGCGAAGGCTACTGTGGCGATACTCATGCGTGGTTTTGAGCTACATGCAAGTGCGCAAGTAGTGGCTGTTCACCGATCTTGGATCTTCGGGGTATCTCCGATCATATCTTTGACAAGTTGTCACGTGTTCCGCTGTCGCGTGTTCCGAGTTCCGAATGCGTCTTTTCTGCGGGGAATTTCTTGCGGCTGTTGCACGAGTGCCTCGGTGTTTGTGATGCACCCTGTGCTCACTCTCTTCCGTGGGTTGTGTCTATAAGGACAACCAATAAAACGTCTTAACCATCTCTTCACGTTTGTCAACCGGGTCAGCCGTGCTCATCCAGCAGCACTAGTCTTGGGGCCAATCAACACTACAGTGCAATAATAATCAAAAACTATAAGCACCAGCTGTGATAGCGAACAAATTACTGCTTTCCAGCAGCAGCCACTGCTTTCGTGCTACACTACAACAGTACACAGCAGTAGACTATAGTCTAGTACATGGAGCATGTTTTGTCATGTATTTGGAGCCACGGTATCAAGGCGCGCAGGTGCGCAAGCAGCACAACAACATTCCAAAAAGCTACAATCGATGGCGATTACTACAGCAGTACCAGCAATCTCACGTACCACCCATACTCCACCATCACCACAACACACCTGCTGGTCTTCGGAGAGGAAGGCAAAGCTGTGCTGTGCTGTGCTGTGCTGTAAGGCAGGACATGTGTGGGTGGAGACCAAGAAGCGACCAAAGATACAGGAGATACAGCATGATTTTCTTGTTTTCTCAGACGACCGATTGGCGCGTCCTCTTCGGCTTTGGTAGTAGAGACAGTCTTCCCTAGAGCTGGCTCTCCCTTTCCGCGTCTGTCGGCCTCAGCACGTGCTTGTGGCTGTTACTGTGGTGCCGTCAAAACTGGCCAATTGTTTGGTGGTTTTATGGCACAAAATATGGCCTTTTGGTACAGGGGATGGGGTAGTATTGTCCCCTCCGTGTGGAAAATTGGCATGGACGTTCATGCTGTTGAGTAGCTTGGTGCGCCCGGCGCAGTTGTAGACGGCAAAAATAAAAGAACCGCGCGGCGAGTTTGCCGGCAACAATAAAATACAGTAAACTGCCCGCGGATGTGGTAACCCGCCGCATCTGTGATGTTCCGGAGCGTGATGGCTCTGATGTGTTGAAGCTGGTGCTATGATAGCTGTTGTGATGGCGTGATAGCCTAGAGGCGTGACAGCCTGGCAGCGTGATAGCCGGTGGATATGTGTGGACACGGGCGTGATAGCCCAGAGCGTGATAGCCGGGAAAAGGAAGACGAAAATTATCCAAGTGCACGTGGTCAACACCATTGCAGACACGTATACCCAGGAAACAACAATATGTGGCAAAGATGGTACCACCATTCCCGCAATATACCACAACTGCGGAACCCCAACAATTCCCCGCTCCATCTTCTCGGAACGTTCCTCGGTTGCAATAATCTGTCAATGCTGTGAGAACATCCAACAGCCCCCCTGCTCGCTGCATTTTCAAGATTATTCCCGGACTTACGTATCACACAAAACCCATCCTAAAAGCTCCAGAAATCAATGTCAATGTCCAACAGTAGTCGGATCTCCTTGTATTCTCTTGCAACAAAAATAAACCATTAAACCAGAAACACTAGTAGTTCCTACCAGAATTTCCATCGGTCTCCCTTGTGTCCAGAACCTTCAAGGATCAAAAAATTCACTACAGCCATTAAATCAGAAACACTGATTGGAATTCCCATCGGTTGAAAACCATTAAACCAGGAACACCACCAAGAATTTCCATCGGTCGCTGGTGAATTTTCCAAATTCCCAATATCAAATCATTCAAAACTCAAATCATCGAAACAACCGCAATGGGTCATATCAGAAACAAATGAATACAAACACATACGCATACACATACAACACCGTCCGGGACAAATCACTTTCCGAGGATACCTCGCATCCACAAGTAGCTGAAAACAAAAATCAATCATGAATGCACAAAAATGCTCGACTCCATACCTCATCCTCATAGCATGAAGACCATTGATGCAAAAAACCTTCAGAGCATTTTCTATCGGTCAATCTTGAGTTCAACGTCCAACACGATGAAAACACAAACCAGAAGACCTCGGAGCCAAATACAAAGGGGACAACGTAGACAGAGCCTTCTACCAAGAAAAATGCCACACGAAAAAAAGGAAAAAAACAAAAACATGTAGCACAACCGTACGTAGCGACCTGCACACCATGGCCGCAAGGACTCAAACCAATAACCCTGTTCCATCACCATGATCCTTATTGAACATTTTCAGCGCAGCCTTCATGCCGTCAAATATTCTTCCAGGTGCAATTTCAATCGCAAAAACCAAATCCAAAGAACTCCGAAACAAGCCAAAAACCAAGACCAAACAAAAAAACAAATCGGAATCCACAAACCCGCATATACCATACAAGCGCCAGCGCTGTATCTGAAAAATATCGGATTGAGAACGGACAACTCTGAGAAAAACAGCTTGAAAGAGTAGGCACAAAATCTCAAACAAAAACTATATTACTCGAGTACAACTTATTGTGCAACAGGAACGAGTATTTGGAAAGCACAGAGGCCCCAACAATCACTCCTGCCAACTCCTTTCTCGAGTATAGTCTTTGAGGACCAAACAAAACAGTGCGCACACGCAAATCGGTGCCACCGTTGCTGTCCAAGAAAAGATAGAAAGCTCAACAAACATGTAGGCAGCCCCCCTTCTGTCACATCCCGAAACATACCCATTGTATTTCCAGAGTTCATCCAAGGACACTCCGCGAAAATCAATACGTCAGCAACCAAACGTGCAGACAGCCCCCTTGCAAAGCAAGCTGTTATATGGAAAAACAAAAACAAATCGATTGCCATTTTTTATATATTTATGCCCTCTAGAATCATGGTCACAGATGACTTCCCCCCCCCATGATTCTGGATGTACATAAGAATAGCAACAAACGAGGAAGAAAATACCAGTGCAATAGTAGAACGCGCTGCCAGAAAGAACGGCAAACAAAACTAAACTAAATACGAAACCCACACTGTTATCTCAGACTCGATGTCGTCGCGCGATGCAAGGCGCGCCACGAGCCCAAACAGAATGCCCCGCTCGGAGGGGCGACCCCCAGCAGGTTGCTCTTGATCTCCCACATGCACCCCTCCCAAACATGCTGTTCTCCATCGCCTTCATCTCGCCGCCCCCCAGCTCGCCGGTCCCTACCATCCCAGGCCAAATAATCGGTTTGCCGTTCAATACACGCCGGGATGCATGTCCCGAAGAAGGCGATGTCGACGACGACGCGCGGGCGGTGGCTGGAGCGATCTATGTACCTTCTGCGGCGGAATGCTGCTGCGACGACGAAGTGGCGGCGGCGGCACTCCTCGCCGCGGGCGTCCTCGGGCCCGGCAGCTTGGCGGCACCTGGCGAAGGCGAAAGCGGTCCATCGGCCTCGGAGGTCGGCGGCGACGGCAACGGCGCGGCAGCGGTAACGGCGGCGGGTAGCAGAGCGGCGGTAGTCCTCGTCGCGGTCATCCTCGGGTCCGGCAGCGCGGCGGCACCCGGCGAGGGTGCAAACGGCGCGCCGTCCCCGGGGTTTGGCGGCAGCGGCGACGGTGCGGCGGCGGTGGCGGCTGCAGTCCATGGTGCACCACCAGCGGTGTTCGACGGCAACGATGAAATGGCGTCGGCGGTCGCGGGTCCCCACGGTGCAGCCGCAGCAGCGGTCGGCGAACCGGTGACAGTACCCCCCGCGGCGGCGGCGGCGACGGCAGGCCAAGGCGCAGCGGTGGCAGCAGGCGGCGAAGCGGCGATGGTCGCGGGTTCCGACTCCCTGGGGCGGGTGTTCCCTTGTTGCTTGGCAGTCAAACTCACAATAGGTTCGGGAAAGTGGCCAGCGCGGTGGTGGAAAACGTCAACATCCATTTGTTCGGCACGACCCAACACAGCCACATCACACTTAGACGCAACACCTTCCCTCGCACCAAATATCGCCGTACTCGTCCCCGAGTCTCCCTGCAACTGCTCACCACCTTTGGGTGTTGACATCCTAGTGTGGCATACCGGGGCTTGAAAAGTCACAGCAGGCTTCACTACAGGAACCACAGGAACATCAGGCACAGACATACCAGCGACGGGAACACCAGACACCACCCCATCACTAACAACTCCAATCTCATTTCCAGACACAGAATCATCCTCGCCTAGAGAATTCACACTACGTGTGAGGAAGAGACGAAGAGGGGCGCCACTTGCTGGAGGAATGTCGCCCGGAGGTGGAGAGGGGGTCGCCGTCGAGGAGGCAGAGGTCGTTGGAGTAGCGCCGGTGTACTGCTGCTGCTGCTGCTGCTGCTGCTGCTGCTGCTGCTGTTGAGTCACCGGCTGAGTGGCGGTGCTAAAGGTCTCGTTGAAGACTCGTTGTTCATCAGCATCGGGCCCAGCAGAAGGATGACAGAACGGACGGCCCCGACCCCAGCTTGCCCCTTGGTCGAGCTGGTGCAGCTGCTCTCGATATGATCCGCTCGACAAGCGCCCCGAGTCTTGCCCTCCGGCCTGAGGAAAAACTGGTACCCGCATACTGTCCCTCTCGCGAATGAACGCCATGGAGTCGCTGTAGTGGAACAAGAAGTCCTGGCGAACTTTGTGGCAGTCCGGGGTGTTGTGGGAGGAGTTTGCTCCGTGAACCTGGCAGAAGAAGGCACTTCTCTGCTCATGAGATGGTCCGCCATCCGCTCCCGCAGCAGCTGCTCTCCTCATGCCGCCGCCCCGGCCCATGCCGGCAGCGACGGGCGCATGCCTCGTGTCCTCGATACCCTCTCCGGACCTCCGTTTGATCCTCTGCTCGTGCGCGACCAGCCTCAGTGTCTCTTCCAGAGTACCTCTCAACAGCATGGGGTGGAACAGAATACGGCCTTTGACATCGTCGTACATTGGGAGCAAGCCACGCGCAAAGTGCCTCGACATTATCGTCTCCTCTCGATTGTCCCCACAAGACTGTAATTGCATCCACACAGTATTCGCCCTTCCCCAATAGTCGAGCAGAGTCTCTCCATGCTTCTGTCTAAGGCAGTTCCAAGTGTCGTCCAGGATTTCTCTCTCATGCGTCCTACTTCTAGTGTAGTAGGACTGAAACGCTATCCACCCTGCTTGTGGACTCTCTGAAGCTAGTATCTGGTCTAGTATAGGTTGAACGTTGATTTTCGTGATCAAGCATATCCAGACTCTCCTGGCCTTTCGAACACTTTCATCGCCATACCTCTGCCGCAACCAAGCCTTATCGACGTGCAACGAACCCACATGAATCTCTTCTCCTTTCATGATCTCTTCAAGACCTTCTGCATCCATCCACCCTGAGAAACAACTCGTGAAAATTCGGAACGCGACAGTCACACTTCGATCCTTCAAGAAAGCATCATTCCACTCTGGTACTTCGACTCCCTCTCTCAGCTTCAACTCTATGGGTTGGGAACTAGACGTGCCTGAGCGGACGCCATGTGCCGGAGTCTGGGAGGCGAAGGTGGCAACCCGGCGAAGGAGGTCATCACGGGCGATAGTTGGATCTTGTTCCCCTCCACCCGCGGCTGCTCTCGTTCCTCCCTGGTCCACATCGGGGAGGTTCAACGAATCTCGTCCTTTCCCCCCGTTGTCTTCCCCGTGGGGAGAGGAACTAGTCCCTGGTTCCCCCGGAGGTCTTCCTCCATCTCCTCCAGCCGTCTTGTTCGCGCAGACACAGCAGCAACTCTCTTGATCTTCGACGCTAGCGTGTTGAGTAGCTTGGTGCGCCCGACGCAGTTGTAGACGGCAAAAATAAAAGAACCGCGCGGCGAGTTTGCCGGCAACAATAAAATACAGTAAACTGTCCGCGGATGTGGTAACCCGCCGCATCTGTGATGTTCCGGAGCGTGATGGCTCTGATGTGTTGAAGCTGGTGCTATGATAGTTGTTATGATAGCGTGATAGCCTAGAGGCGTGACAGCCTGGCAGCGTGATAGCAGGTGGATATGTGTGGACACGGGCGTGATAGCCCAGAGCGTGATAGCTGGGAAAAGGAAGACGAAAATTATCCAAGTGCACGTGGTCAACACCGTTGCAGACACGTATACCCAGGAAACAACAATATGTGGCAAAGATGGTACCACCATTCCCGCAATATACCACAACTGCGGAACCCCAACAATTCCCCGCTCCATCTTCTCGGAACGTTCCTCGGTTGCAATAATCTGTCAATGCTGTGAGAACATCCAACACATGCCATTATCATCTCCCGATGCATATCCTGCGGGCGAAGGTGGCAGGATGGACGAAACATCGGAACGCATGTTTACTGGCCACACAACCAGCAGTCCGATTATCACGGCAAAAGACCTCCGGTTCTATCGCAAGAAGAGTCACCTTGTTGCAAAAAAGTGCAGGTGGACGTTTTCAAAATCACAACATGTAGACTAACGTGTTGAGTCTGGGTGACCGACTAACATCTTGAGTCTGGGGGACCACCTGCGATTGGCACGAGGAGGAGAAATTCTTGGTTTTCGATCAGCGAGCAACTTCGCGGAGATCCAAGCATGAACGCACCGTTCCGGGCTCATGCAACAGTGATCCGCACATATCCAGCTACAGAGCAGCAGATTCAACAACTGCTGGAAGAGTCCAACTTGGAAAGGATTGTCGTCTTCTGTGCTCTGCCCTTTCGCGCCATCACTTGTTCTGCCTAGATGGACCGGTTGACGTACAACATGCTAGGGATGGTGACGTCTCGTTCCCTGAAACCTTCAAAAAGGTTCCCCCGTACAAGCGCACGGTTGTAGAAGAAAAAAATGTTTGTCATGAAGGGGTGGTTTCCAACCGATCTCGAAAATGAGCGGTTTCACGCTAGAACAGCCGGCAAGCGTTGTGCAGCGTAAATCCGTGAGTTGTCATGTACAAAGAGCAGAGGTTCGCACTTTTCTGAAACAACATGCCATGCCGTCTACCTCAACACACATGTATGTGCTTTCCCTGCTCTATCACGTTGTTATCGCCCGTGTGTTCATGTACGCAATGTATGCGTTGATCTCCTCTCGGAATATTTCGATTTTCGCTATTAACATATCGGCGTCAACCCCTCCCTCAAAAACTCCCTGCTTCTCTCCACGGTCTATCGGACTACAGATCTAGTGCATAGTCAAGCCATCTATGCTTTGTGGCCACTCCTTCCGGCGCTTCAATTCTTGATGGTTGGCCGCAACATGTTGCGCAGAGCAGAGATCAACAAGGGAACAATCGATTGTCTTCGTTCGGCGGCGGCGCGAACCGCACAGTACTTTTGTCACTAAGTAACGACGGACTGACAGGTCTGTGCTATTGTCGTTCATGGCACTAAACCTTCAGTAGTGCCAGACAAACAGGGCATCGTTGCGTCCGTCTTCATTCCGGCCTACATCAGGAATACGGTAGGTATACTCATCGTGGCCACGGCAAGGCAAGCGCCAAAGCAACTGAAGTACTATCTTCTTCAAATGTAGATATAGTCGGGGTGTGTGCAGAAAATTCAGCGGCACTATACCAGACACCGGCACCATTGCGAAGAAGTGCCTGAAGTGTTGGTGCCGGCTTTGAAAACCCCTCAATAGCGCCAGACCTGCACTATTGCCGAAATGTATAGTTTGAGATTGGAAGGCTTACGCTTCGCGGGGCCAACAGAAAACCACATGAACCATAAACTGGTGAAGATATGGCGTAGGCATCGTCGGCAGATTTTGTCACGATACGCGTGCTTTCTATGCTGTTGAGCACAGAGATGTTGCTGTAGGCGGCACAGTTATGTTACCGGTATTGCAATACCCGCCTCAGCACAAATATTGCACAGCCCGAAATGTCGCGTTAGACCTTCAAATGAACATCGCAAGGACACCTCACAGCTGTGCACTGGCCATACACGGATCAAACCATTTCGAGCAAACCAACAGCACTCCTGGACATCGAAAGGACGACACTCGTGCACCCAATGCATCGTGGGAAGAATAGATGTTAGTGACGCCCCTACTCGTACAACCTGATGGTGAAGAGGGAAGCTAAATCTCACTCCTCCTTGCCCCCGTTCGATGTAACGAGAGCACAAAAAAGTATGCTTGTGTGGGTATTGTTCACTATCAGCACGGACCGCGCTAACCGGCTGACCAACGAAAATAATTCAGTCTCAGTGCGGCTGAAAACTGAAAATGGCTCTAACGGCCACTATCTGGTACTGCTAGCAGCATCGACCCCACGTTCGTAAGTGTATTGACTACAAGGTTTCCCTCCGGAGTGGGGTAAATAGAGTACCGGGGCAGGGGGTGATGCAAGAACATGCAAAGAGCGACACAGATATGTGGAGTAAGCACTTTTCGTCCTTTACACACCCCGCAACATATTGTTCTGCCTTTTTCGAATGCTGCGTCTCCCACCGCCGCGGATTCCAAGCCGCCAAACGTGTTGAAATCCATCAGAGCCGTATTGTCACCCAGGAAACGCAAACACCCTCGCCACAGGCGGGCGGAGAAGCGTCATATTCGCGCGTTTAGCATGCGAACAGTATGTGGGGAAGAGACCGTAGCGTCATCTGGTGTGGAAGCGTCGCACAGGAGAGAAGAAAAGGCCACGCAAAAGACTAGAAGCAAAATTGCGTGCAAAAAAACGATGGATGTGAATCCAGACAGGAACGTGCGTGTGCAGTGTATTTTCAAACATTCAAAGGAAGATCGATACACGTACGCACATGCAGCCAACCCAATACGCAGTACATATTACATACACCTACGTATTGCACCCATGACGGGGGTGTACTCATAGTCGTGCATGCCGTAGTCGTTAGACCATTGACCTCGCATCCCTACAAAGCCGGGACGGAGCACGCCGGGTTCTCACCGGACCAGGCTCTCACATCACCAAGCGCGAAGCGCCGTGAGATATTCGGCGAGTCGCATGAAGGGTGCGCTGCATCCTGCTAAGGGTGTTCGGCATCTTGTGCTTACTTCCTTGCGTACGGATGACAGCTGCGTATGACTTAGTCTACTTTCTGGTGCTTTCACTCCCTGAGACAGTTGTAAGCGCTGTGTAACTCCTCGAGGGTGCTTGACAAGTTCAACACAACGTGGTGCGATCATTCCCCTTGCGCGGAGTGGGGGTTATCGACCCCGCACAACATGATCCACTCGACCACCATTATGGTTACCGCCAAAAAAGAAGAGGTAAAAAAACAAAAGGTAACATGGTTGCCGAGCTCACGAAGTGAATTGGCTTGTATTACAACGTCGTTGCCAAGCGACGAAAACCCAATCCCGATGGCACACACCGAGGGGGAGGGGGGGTGTACTCATAGTCGTGCATGCCGTAGTCGTTAGACCATTGACCTCGCATCCCTACAATGCCGGGACGGAGCACCCGGGTTCTTACGGGACCAGGCTCTCACATCACCAAGCGCGAAGCGCCGTGAGATATTCGGCGAGTCGCATGAAGGGTGCGCTGCATCCTGCTAAGGGTGTTCGGCATCTTTTGCTTGCTTCCTTGCGTACGGATGACAGGTGCGTATGAATTAATCTATTTTCTGGTGCTTTCACTCCCTGAGACAGTTGTGAGCACTGTGTAACTGCCTCGAGGGTGCTTGACCANATAGTCGTGCATGCCGTAGTCGTTAGACCATTGACCTCGCATCCCTACAAAGCCGGGACGGAGCACGCCGGGTTCTCACCGGACCAGGCTCTCACATCACCAAGCGCGAAGCGCCGTGAGATATTTTGGGGAGTCGCATGAAGGTGCGCTGCATCCTGCTAAGGGTGTTCGGCATCTTTTGCTTACTTCCTTGCGTAC